GACGACAGGGTATGGTATTGTTCGGGGCTGTGTTAGGGCTGTAAAGTGAAATGCGTGCCCTGCGATCAATGGCAACTTGAGATATGATGCAGTATTGGTGTGTGTCGAATTTCAGTTTAGGACTTAGTAGATCTTCTTGTGGATAAATCTCTAGCGCTGCCGCGGGCGGCGTTAATACCGCAGGTACCGGTATGACAATAACCCAGCCCTCCAAGCAGGAGATTGACCTGCTTTCCAACTCTTGAGATGCCCCCCCACCCTCTTCATTCGGTTGAATCCTCGAGCCTGTGTGAGCTGCGGGAAAGCTCATAGAAATCGCCCTAAGGGATGGGGCTAGGGAAACGCATTGGCGTATGTAAGAAATATGATGCCAAAAAAAAACAAGAAAATAAACAACCAATGCACGTCAGCCTCATCGAGCTGTGAGTAACCAAATTCTAAGACTCGGGATCGGCCCCCCTTTAGAGGGAAACCTATCTTGTGCTTGGAAATAAAAGAGGGAACCTCCCAGCCAGCTATAATATCATAATTATTATACCTTCCTTCCTGGTCAATTCTCCATAGGGCTGACTCCGGTCCGATGTTGAAGATCTCAGGGTTTATTTCCTGCTGGTGTCTTGCCAGCGCAGGGCAGTTCATGATATGATATGATAAAGAGAAGGTTTAGGGGGCGATCACACAAATTCCATCCACTGGCTCGCGGTCCTGATTTGGCAGATCAGTTTAGGCCTTGAGGTAACTCAAAACCTGTTTGGCCCCCATTTGGTGTATTCTCCCATCCTGGAATCTCGGAACAACATGAAGTTCCAGCATTGCCGACAGGGTAGAGATGCCCCTTTTGTTGAGTTTTAGGTACATATATAAAAGCTCGTGATATGCTTTACTGGTTTACAATACTAGAGCGGGGACTTACGGAGCTGGAGGAAGGTGGCTAAGAGAAGGGGGAGTAGATTTAACTATGAGTGTACGATATGTTAACTGTAGTGTCGAGGGAGGAATTGTAGGAGCGGAAGGCTATGATTTCTCTGCTCTCAATGGGGAGAAATATCTATCACAATCCGGCAAAGAGGTGGGTGGCAGGGGATAATGGCAGAATGGAAAAAAGTATGAGAAGGGGCCAAATGGACCAAATGCTGCAAATCACGTGCCGTAAGCTTTTCACAGTTGGTTCTTGCTATGCATCCACCTTCATGAGCGTGGTGCGTACGTATGCAGCTAATTTGTGTCTATGTATATATAAAGACTCCATCCGCCTATCTTGTGATGTAGTGCGGTGGCTGTCTGAGTTATGTAACGATAGAATCGAATTCCGAGGTACATATCATAATAGTGGTCGGGCGTGGAATAACCTAACCCAACAGGCATGAGGGATGAGGAGCAAACGAGAAGGGTGTATATATAGGGGTAAGGGAATATGAAAAACAACGATACACTACGTATATATGAAGCAAAATAAAATCTGAGCAATGCGACAAGAATTGCGAAAGGGGATAGGGTAATTTAGGGGGCCAAGGAGATAACGAGGTATCATATTCTAAACGAACGGCCCGAGGTTTAACATTTGTGGTAACTTGTAAAGTCGCCCATAAGAAGTTGGCTATGGCGAGCGTGGGATCTTGTTTCGTCAAGTTTGTTCCCATGCTTGGAGGATACGTCCATCTGGTGGATGGGGGGGGGTTGGGTGTTGTGTAATGTAAGATGTAGCGGATAGGATCTGCGAGTGTGGGTTGTGGAGGAAGAAATAACATAAAGGAGTAGGATAACTTGATATTCGTTGCTTGCTCAATTTTTTTCTCTATACGGCAAGAGGAGGTTTATATAGACCAACGAAGTCCCCATCCACAATCGAATGTCTAACTACAGGCTCCAGAAATCCTCCCTATCCCAACACATGAGCACACGCTTCCTCCGGCGTTTCTCCCATGCTCCGAGGTCCAGCTCGGGCTCTTTCTGAGAGAAGTTCCCATACCAATATAACTGGCTCACTGAGCCTTGCCGAGAGACCGCCGAATACTACCGCCAAGTATCATAATATCCGGTCGTCCTTCCTCCCGTATTGTGGAGCTGAACATGAGATAAGACTGCAGATACTAGCAGAAGAAATCTCTGCTAGTGTGAAATGCGCATACCAACGATCAATGAATACGACCGACACGTGAGTGAGTACCAGTGGCTTTCAACATTGTGTTAGATACAAAAAACCTGAAGGGCTCAGATAATTGCGACAGCTCGGGAGAAAAGAGTTCTTGCTGTATATCTAGGAATCAATCCGCCCATGCCTATGGCAACGCTGCAATCCTCGCATACCTATTTCTAACAACCCACAAGAGCGGTGTTCGATCAGATTTGGTGTCCGCTATGCGGGGATTGATATCGTTCTGTTCCAACAGTATCCTCACGGCCCCCTCATGCCCATTCTCGGCGACCCACGAGAGCGGTGTTTGGCCATATTTAGTGTCAGCTTTGTTGGGATTGACATCGTTCCGTTCTCGCAGTATCCTCGTAACCCCGTCCTCCCAATTCTCGGCAGCCGAGGAGAGTAGAGTTTGGCCATACCTGGTGTCAGCCCCGTTGGGATTGACATCTTTCCGCTCCAATAGTATCCTCACAACTCCCTCATGCCCTTTCTCGGCGGCCCACGAGAGCGGCCATATTTGGTGTCAGCTTTGTTGGGATTGACGTTGTTCCGCTCATGCAGTATCCTCGCGATGCTCTCATGGCTATTTCTAGCAGCCTACGAGCACAGTATTCGGCCGCTTTTGACGGCAGCTTCCTTGGGGTCTTCTGTGCTCGGTCCTAGCAGTGTCCTCACGACCCTCTCATGCCCATTTCCAGCCGCCCACGAGAGCGGTGTTCGGCCATATTTGGTGTCAACTGTGTTGGGATTCACGTAGCTTCGTTCCCGTAATATCTTCACAGCCATATCATGTCTTCTTCCGGCAGCCCAGCTAATTGGCGTGTTACCATTTAAATCGGTTGCCTGTACATCCCATTTATTCGTTTCCAATAAAGCAACAATAATCTCCTCATATCCGAGGTATGCGGCACCGTGAAGCCCTATAAATCCTTTAGGGGTATCTTCATGGTCAAAAGGCCGGTCCTAAAAGCTTGCCCAGTGCAACAACAGCATCTTCGCAGATATGTGTTTATCGTATTCATCGAGTAGTTTTAATGCAAGCATTTTCACAAGTTCAGTCGTTTCCCGCCTAGCATGCGTACCCCAATAGCAAGAAGCATATTCGGCAAAAGGGAGTGTTGGTGGGGCGGAACAAAGAGCAGGCGAGATACCCCTGACCTGCTGGAAATTGAGGTACGTTAAACAGACCTCCGCAATCATTGAGTGGGGCTCTAGGAACAAGTCGGGATTGTGGAAGAGGTGCTCTCGAAGAGTGTAGTGAACTAGGCAGACCGTAGATGAGGGCTTCCCGACCGTGACAAGCCCTAGACAGCATGATAGGAGCGTTTCTATCGCCGGGGTGTTCCGGATATTCAAGTCGGTGGATCCTTCTTCTACCCCCGAGGCGTGGCATAACTCGTCGACATGTAATGGCCGCTCCGAATGCGACACCCACATTAGAACGTCCATACCGAGTTTTGATCTGCTTCTTTGTTGCCACTTTACTCGTGATAAAGTTGCAGTGTATGCGTCGCCCAGAGCCTCCCCTTTGACCATCTCATCAAGCCTTTTCCTCCGCTGATTGGGGGTAATCTCACTCAAAATTGCGTCAATTTTTAGAGAAACGAGAAGGAAACTAGGCATGACCGTTAGTGAACGGTAACTTTGACTCGTATTGGAAATGTTATCGACACTACTTACATTTCTGAGATCTTCTCCGGAATGATTCTCATAATATCCGCCCGTAATTCATCGTCCATTGCGTTGGGATCTGTGTCACTGTCCAACCTCATCTCTAGATAGCTCTTAATATCATCCTGGGTTGGACAAACAGATATCCTAACCGCCCCGCTAAAACATTTCACAATTTCATCATCGATATGGACCTTCCAGTAAGGAATATTCGTGTGTTTGGCGCCACCTGAAGGATTTCTCGTAGTGACACTAGGAGCTCCCATCGTTGCCTTGGAGGGGTTTTGTCTAGCGCGTCGATGCATATAAATACCCGCGCTAGTGTTATAATCGTCTCTTTTAGAATATCTGCTAGTTCAGGAAGTCGGAGACCTCGACCGCCGAACTCTTTTTTCGCCTTCTCGAAAACCTCCCGTATATGCTCCGGGGTTCCTCATCTGTTGATAGGTTGCTTGAGGATGGAACCTAACATACTTGTGGTGGACTGCTCCTGTTGGGCAAGGAAATCACAGTACAGTCCTACAATAGCAGTGTCTTTCCCCTCAGTCTGATCGCACCGGTTGTCAATCACCAAGGAGCTATTATTTGCTGATCGTTAGTGACATCTGCATTGTTTTCTCCCGACAAGACGCCTTCCTACCCCAGATACGTTTTCCCCACCCAAGGATTCCCATAACAGAATGACACCGGGTCAACACAATTACCTTCCATATCGCTCCATTTTCTGAACTCGTTTGCTTCTAGTACCTAGTTTCCTACCCTGTCTAGTCGGTCGGTTCGCACACCTTTGTGTCGTTGTTGTAACTCAAGAGGCGATAGCCACTGCAGGATCTCATGTCTCTTAGCATCTATTTCTGTAACGAGGTTAACAATATTGTTAAATGAGTTGATATTACCAGTGACCTGCTGGTGCCCTGACGACATCTCTCCTATAGTCTATTATCCGGATTCGTTTTTTTGTGTGAGATAGAGCGCGGTCGTGTACTATGAGGATCTGACCTACCGGTATCTTGGAGCTCGAAAGAATCTCAGTCATAGACTAAAAGAAAGGGGTTGTTTGTACTAGTACTCGTACATAGCACACCATAATATACACTTCGCACACCCACAGAGGCCTATTACACAGTTCTGCATTCGGCCGGCTGCCGGCACGATGTAGGACGTGAAGAAGGGTGAAATACGGTAGGAACAGGATCTTAGGTCTGTTCAGTATGCTGTTGTCGATGAAGCTGGTCGTCATTTCGAAAACCGGGTCTAGCAGCACGACCGACGCAGACCCCGCATTCAGCACCAGGTAATTTCCAAACGCTACTTTTCTCCGCTACACTTCGGAAGTCACTTATTGAATTGGTGAGGGCCGGCTTGCAAGAACCGAGTTTGATTCGATTAGATGCAGACTCCAAGGGTTCTCAAGACCATGAGAGTGCATTCTTTCAAGGTTAAGAGTACGGTAGCTATAAGAAGGGCGGTTTATTATATCTCTCACAGGATGTAATTCAGATCCCTAAGTGTGCTCCTCCCAAGTGCAGATACCCTGTAGCTGATACCTCTGACGAGGAAGATGATGGGGGAGAGAAATCTAGAAAAGGAAAAAAGAGATAGCGCATACATCAATTTCATGAAACTACCTCAACTCATTGTACAATTATATCGCCGCAACCAACCATCATGTGGAGCACGTGCAGTTGATTACCAAGGCTGGGTTCCCAGTTTCATATAATTTATGGTACACTCGCCCAAGTCGCGCATAGGAATCAAGGGGACCGCTTTCATTCAGGGGAGACATCAATATTGGTCATTCCGGATATAGCAGCAAGAGGAATCGATATCCCTCTGTTATCAAACGTGATCAACTGCGACTTTCCACCGCAGCCGAAGGCTTTCGTACATCGTGCTGGAAGGAGGGGATGGGCATACAGTTTTGTCAGGGCCGAATATGCGCCTTATCTCGTTAATCTACACCTATTATTGGGAACGAAGCTTGTTCTTTCGGAGGGCGGTTCGGTAGAGGGTTTCGACTCTGCTTCTGATATTATTGTTGGAAGTTGTCTTCGAGATTTGGTTGAATGGAGCATGGAGTGGACCAACGTGCTCTTGTCGAAAGATACTAAACTCGCGAGCTGGAAAAGTGTTAGATAGAAGGGCGAAAAGCTTTACCAGAAGATCAAACCCGCTACATCGGCGAGATCAGTCAAGCGTGCTCGGGAGATGGTTACGCAAAAAGGATGGTCCACCACCGACCCGCTTTTCGCGAACGATACCGACAATGCAGAAGTAGAGAGAGCCAGGGTGCTGGTCCGTGTAGCCAATTTCCGACCCTCAGAGGCCATCTTCGAAATCGGTCAGGGAGGATTAAACAAGTCTGAAGCTGTTAAGAATCCTACCGAGTAGGACCTAGCGACAGGTAACGATACTTTTCTGTAAGATGATAGCTCTCAGGCCTGTGCCTACGCGATCCCGATAGTCCAGTCCTTTGACTACCATCGTGTTCGCGCCTATCTTCTTATACTTCTTCGAAGTCCTTACTTAGGAGTTAATCGTTCGATGCGGGAGGAGAAATAGTTTTCTCGCTTGAGAGGAAAGACAGCTCTCAGGTTTCTTAAGATAAATCTTAAAGAGCGTAAAAGTAGGTTTTATTGATAATAACTTAAAGGTAGGAAATAAACAAGAAGAACGTGTGAAGAGCTGATACTCGGGGTCCTAGTGATCCTTTATATAGTCGCTCTTCACCTGGCGTGACTCGTACCTCGCGTCACGCGAACCCTGTGACTCATAACCATGAGTCATATGAAATCCATCAGACGACTCCTATGAGTCACTGCGCAACATGCCTAAACTAATCAAAACATGATAATCAAGTCAGGCGCGCAACTCGCGCCACCTGAGTGAAACCCATGACTCACAAGTATGAGTCATGTGCGAAAATCATAACATCGTGTGACTCACAACTGTGAGTCACGAACAGGTAAACATAATAACCTATGGCGCACTAGTGTACGTCATTTGAAATTCCAACATCCCTATAACTTGGAAATCCGAGCTATGTGAAATCTGCCTTCCTTAGTCACAGTTCGTGACATTAGCTCCCCTCTCCCTCAGCCCGAGTCCCATCGGGCTTCAATCTTCTATTCCCCATGTTCTTCCTTTGGGCAGCGGATAGTACCTATTTGCTCCCGTCTTCACCCTAACCACCCTGGCCAGAGTTCTTCTTGCTTTCTTCTCTTCTCTTCTCCAATCATTCTGGAGAGCCTTCCTCATATTCCTCTCTCCTTGCAACTCCCTCGTCAAATTGTCGTTGCTCCACCTCGTTTTCTCCACCTCCTTCTTGAGCTCCTCTATTTTTTCCGCCTGATATTCCAGCAGTCTGCTGGTTTCTGCCTTCTCGGCTAACCACTTCATCTTGACCTCCTTCGAGGTCTCGGGTTCCGTCTCTTCTTCCATCTCTTGTTGCCAGGAAACCTGTTTTGGTTTTCTGGGCTTTCCCCATTGTCTTTGATTTTTCGCCCCCCTCCTCCTTGATTCCGTCCTTGGAGTTGGTTTGATGTATTGTACCAGATCCACTGGTTCTGGTGTGGGGGATTTCGTCGGTGTCGGGGATCTTGTTGGTGATCCCAGAGGTGAAGTCTTGGGTGGCCATCTGTTCTCCTTCCGAGGCCAGTATCCTAAGCCTTTCTTCTTGCTCTTGTATACTTGGCACTCATCGTCGTGACAATCTGTCCATGACAGGTTCGCATGCTCCCTTTGGGTAGTGGGAGTCTTGGGTATCGGTAAGTCTTTCAGACTTATCCAGTCCTCGGGGTTGGATTCCATCTGGTTTGTCGTTTCTGGGCTCAGGGTGCGGTATCCCAGGCTGGTTGGGGTGATGTGTTTGAATGCGTCGCGTCCCGGATCGTTCTCGAGTGACGCCCTCAACGGTATTGTCTCCATTTTTATCTGAGGCTCTTGCCAGTAGTAGGTGTCTGTTCTGCGTAGTGGCAGGGCCACACATTCAGATTCGGGTGCGTCTTCTACCGTTGCTTGACGGCTTGCGGGGGTATCGTTGATGGAATTGGTTGGCTGCATTTTGCGCGTGATCGAAGTTCTCGGCTGGGTACCAGGTCTTATCGTATTTGAGCAAGTATCCCGTCCACTTGGCGCTGTATTGCAAGCGACCATAGTGTAATCGAGAGTCGATTATTTCTTCGAGTTTGTATTCTGATTCGCCGTCTATTTCGATAGGCGGTGGTAGGGGTTTCTCTTGATATGGTAGAGGATTGTCTATTCTGATTCACCGTCTATTTCGATAGGCGGTGGTGGGGGTTTCTCTTGATATGGTAGAGGATGGTCTTGATAGGGTTTGAGGAGGCTGATGTGGAAGGTGTTGTGTATTTTCATTGACGGTGGGAGGTCGAGCTTATAAGCGCGGCTTCCTATTTTTGCCAATATCTTGAATGGTCCTATTTTCTTGTAATCCAGTTTTTTTATTGATCGCGTGGTTCGGATGTTGCGTGGTAGTAACCAAACCATATCTCATGATTTTAGGTTTGGATCGGGTTTTCTGTGGTGATCCTAGTCTTCCTTCTGTTGTAATTGTGCCATGATCATTTCGTTTCGTAATGTGTTGTGTAGTTGACTCATATCCTTTTTATTCGTTATCTTTCCTTGGAGTATATGACCTATGGTTTCGTATTCTGGATGTGTGCCATAATTTGCGAAGAACGGAGTCGTCTTGATTGTTTCCTGTTTTCCATTATTGTAGGCGAACTCGGCTAGTGGTAGCCAGTCGTACCAATCGTCTTGTTGGTAGTTGACATATGCACGCAGATATTGTTCCAATATGCCGTTAATTCTTTCCGTTTGCCCATCCGTCTGGGGGTGGAAGGCTGTGCTCATTCGTCGATCGATTCCTAATTTTTCCATTGTTTCCTTCCATACTTCAGAAGTAAATAGGGATCCCCTATCGCTAATGATGTCTTTGGGTAATCCATGTAGGTGGTATATTTGTTTTAGGAATATTGTTGCAAACTGCCGTGCCGTCATATCCGTTTTGCACGGTATGAAGTGACTCATTTTGGTCAGGCGATCTACTACCACTAGTATGGCGTCATGATTGTCTGACTTGGGTAGTTTGGTTATAAAGTCTAAGGATATAGACTTCCATGGTTTTTCCAGGGCCTCATTTGATTTGAGTAATCCGTAAGGTGCATGTCGTACCACTTTGGTTCTTTGGCATGTGTCGCAATTCTTGACATATTGTTTGATGTCTTCTCTTATCTTGGGCCAGTAATATCTTCTGTTGTTGAATTCGGTAGTTTTGACGGTTTTTCCATGCCCGGCATAGGGAGGATCATGATGGTGTCATATGATTTCTGTGTGTAATTCCTCCTTCTTTGGTATCCAGATTTTTCCTTCCTACCACAGGTAATCGTCTTCCCATTGGCACAATCCTAAGGCTACTCCCTTGGTTTCCTTGATTCCTTGTGCCGGTTTTTCCTTAAGGGCCTGTATTTCCGCATCCTGCGAACTTTCTCTCCTGATATCTTCTTCCAATGTTGTTCATGTGTTGATTTTGTTCAGGGACTCATATCCACTGTCTTCATTCTCTGTTTGAACATATTTTTCTTTTGGTAACAGTATTTGTTGCTTCTGTTTGATTCTCTCATCTTCTGGATCTTTTAGTTTGTCCGCTGATCGTCTGGTTAAGGCGTCTGGCTTTCCTCCTTCTTTTCCGAGGCGATATTCAATCTTGAAGTTGTAGGTACTGAGTTTCTCCATCCACCTTATTTGTCGTCTGTTTAGCTCCTTCGTGGTCATGAAGGGTACCAAGTTTTCGTGGTCCGTGAGTATTTTGACTGGTGCCTGATTGTTTTGCATGTATCTTCTCTATTCCTTTAGTGCTTGAACTATCGCTAATAGTTGTTTGTTGTGGACGTCATAGTTGCATTCCGCTGGGGTCATTGTTTTGGATCGGAAAGCCACTGGTCTCCATTTGCCGTCTTCGCATTTTTGAGAGAGTATGCCGGAGCAGACGTATTTTGAAGCATCGGTTTCGATCATTGGTTCCTTCGTTGGGTCGAAATGTACCAGTATTGGTCCTTTGGTAATCTTGGTCCTTAGTTCGTCGAATGCTTCTCTTTCCTTAGAGCCCCATTCCCATTTGACATCCTTTTTTGTCAGGTTGTATAATGGTTTAGCTGTTCGGCTAAAACCTTGTTTGAACCTTCGATAGAAGTTGCAAAATTCCATGAAGCATTAGATATCCGTTTTGTTCTTGGGGTATTCCCATTCCCACATGGCTTTGGTTTTAACTCGGTCCATCTGGACCCCGTCGCCGTTGATGATGAATCCTAGGTATTCGGTTTCCTCCTTGTGGAATGCGCATTTGCTGGGTTTGCACCTCATTCCTGACTCTTTGATGTCGGCCATTATATTGCTGACATCCTTTTGGTGTTGTTCCATATCTTTGGAGTATATTAGTACATCGTCTAAATAGACGATGCAACAGATATCCAGGTACTTGTGGAGTACTTTGTTGATCTATCGTTGGAACGAGGCGGGTGCATTAGTTAGCCCAAATGGCATAACCAAGTATTGGTAGGTCCCATATTTCGTCGCAAATGTTGTTTTCCATTCATCTCCTTTCTTGATTCTGACATTGTGATAGGCATCCCGAATGTCCAGTTTGGAGAAGTATTTGGCTGACGCCAGTCGATCCAATGCTTTTCCTATTAGAGGTAGGGGATATCTATCCTTCTTGGTTATGTGATTGAGTGCTCGGTAATCAATGCATAACCTTAGTTTTCCATCTTTCTTTTTGATAAACAGGATGGGTGATCCTCCGTTGGCGTAGGATGGCTGAATCC